CAAGCACCCATGGAGCACGCCCCAACAGAAAGTGAGGTCTGATGTCAGCCTTTCCAAACTAGAATAAATCCTTGGAGGGATGAAATGCAATGGAAGGTGTAACACCTCCTCCTTGGCACAGCTGCAAAGCCCAGACCAGACTATCAGAACTGTGAGAGGTTTGGGGTCAATTTTCAGAAGGCACCCACAGACCATGGCACACAAGGGCCATGGGGTGACCACAGTGATGACATCCCACCTCTCCAAAGCTTGGGTCACGACTTCTACCCTCCCTGACATGAACCATCACCAGAAGAATTTGACCTCTTAGTGCTCACAATTAGCACCACAGATGGAAATGGCCTCAGGAGCAGGATATGGAATTGCACAATTCTACAAAGACAAGCACCTCCTTGTCAGGGAATGACAGTGGACCTCACTGATTGTCCACTAGTAATTACTGGTTATTTTCATATGGGAACACAATGTTCACAATTACAGGTTATGAGTTATGAAACTTGTGGCTTGAATGCGGAATAAGTGAATTGATGTCACAGAGAGCCTGAGAAAAAAGGGATCAAGCCCAGTTTTTTCTTTCTTGATTGGATTTCTTCACAATGTCAAGGGATACATTTTAAATGGCAGAGAACATTGTCATGTAAATTTAAGAAATCCAAATGGGCTGTAACATTGGAACAGGTTCAGCCTGAGCAGCCTCTCATTTTAAATGTCCTCTCCCCTGATCCCATTCAAGACACAAGGCCATGGGCTCTCTATCATCCATCAGGAAGAGCTCCCAGGCATTGGGACCTTTCCAAACCATTGCAGAGTGAACTCTGCAACAGGACATCAGCAGCTCCCTCAGCATTCCTGGGTGCAACACAATGAGTGACAGACATGCAGTGGCACAGAACAGAGTCCCAGTCTTCACAAGGCACTCACAAACCACAGCACACAAGTGCCACAAAATGACCTCACTGATGACATTGCAAATCTCCATGGCTCTGGTTGTTTATTCAGCCTGCCCTGAAACACAATGAACAATCAAATCCGCCCAAGAAACAAATTATTAGATCTGCCGCCAAGGTCAGATGGACACAGCCTCAAGAACAGGACATTGCAGAATTGCATGAATGAAAACACTGCCAACCTCATAACTCACCTGGCTGGGCCAGCAAAGAGCCGCTGCCTAAAAAATGCCCCAAGGCCATGGGACAAGGCTGTCCCGCCCCTCCAGGAGCAGCATAAAAGCCGGCCCACAGCCTCTCTCCCTCACACACTTCTCCTCACGCCTTCTCCTCCTGCTGACAACCAGGTGAGCCCCAAATCCCTGACCCTCCTGTTCCTGCACCTCTGGCCCACCCTCTGTGCTTCCAGCATGCTTGGCCCCAGCCTCAGCAGCCCTCACGCCTCCCCACTGCTCCTCAACAGCCTCCACACTCCCTCACCCTCCTGCATCACCACCCTTTGAACCCCAGCACACCTTCCCTGCCTCACTCCCCTCTCTCTTCCAGGACCCTCCACACCACACCCATGGCCTGCAACAACATCTGCCGTCCCTGTGGACCCACCCCGCTGGCCAACAGCTGCAATGAGCCCTGTGCCCTGCAATGCCAGGACTCTCGCGTCATCATCGACCCTTCCCCTGTGCTGGTCACCCTGCCAGGACCCATCATGACCTCCTTCCCCCAGAACACCGCCGTTGGATCCACCTCCTCGGCTGCCGTGGGCACTGAACTCAGTGTGCAGGGACAGCCCATCTCTGGTGGATTTGGTGGCTTTGGCGGCTTTGGCTATGGCCTTGGCTATGGCCGTGGGTTTGGCTACGGGCTGGGCTGTGGCTATGGGCTGGGAGGCCTGGGCTGCTATGGCAGAAGGGGTGGTTACAACTGCTAAGGGCCCTTGGCAGCAACCCTGACACCAACCCCCAGCTCCCTGGAACACATCTCAGGCATTGAGGACACCTCTCTAGTCCAAGGCTCTCAGATGGACTCAGAGCTTCCAGCTCCTGCTCTTAGGGCATCAAGCAAGGCAGTAGCCAATAGGCCAACCTGGGCCGCCAGCCAACATGGCCCATCTGCCTCCTGCTCTTTTCCCACTCTCTGCTCCGCATTGCCCCTTTAGCTCTGTTCAATCCCCTCTACTGCAAACCCGTTCTCTTAATCCAGGGACCCTTGGGCAGCTGCACTGTGCTTCTTCCAGTGTGCAGCAGGAAGTCCTTGGTGGTCTGGCCAAATGTAGACCATTCAGAGCTACTCTGCTGATGGTGACCCTTACTGCACTTCAGACCTGATCCCTTTCCCTGGCTGGTCCTGGTTTTTCACTGTTTTGTTTCAATAAAATTTTTCTTGCATCACAACTTCAGCTGTGTGTTTTCTGAATGGAGCTTCTGGTGTACTGCGTATGAAACCTGTTTCCATTGTCCTGCACCACAGGGGATCAGGAGTCCAGAGCTGAAGTGTCTTCAGGAGGAGTTTAGGTTGGATATTAAGGAAGTGTCCTTCAGGGAGAAGCTTGTCATTCCTGTCACAGACTACACAGGATAGTGGTGGAGTCATCATCACTGCAGGGATTTAATATCCCTGTCGATGTGTAACTTGGGGACGTGGGTTTTTGATGGCCTCAGTTGTGCTGAGGGAATGGTTAGAATTTTACTGTATTTTCAATTTTGACATTTTGCAACAAAAATGTTTTTAAGATGTGATTATTTAGTGGTGGATTTGGTAGTCCTCCATTAACATTTGGAGTCAATTTGAAGGATCTTTCTCAGCTGAAAGGACCCCAGGAGTGTTGGTGGCACCTGTGTAAGAGAGAAGAGGGTAGATGGGAACAGCAGGTGAGGGGTAAGCCAGGCCTTTGGGGTCTTGAGCTGTGACAAGTGCCCAGAGCTTAAGCCACTTCTCTTGGAGGATTTCCCTTGAGGAAATGGTGCCTGGCTGAACTCTGTGTCTGCTCTGTCCCAGTGACTCGGCCTGGGCATGAGGAGAGAGCTTTGGCTGGGGTTGAACTTCACCCTTTTGTGAAGCCTTTGGTGCCCCTTCCCATTCTACACTCCCAGAGCATCTGAGCAAGTCCAGGTTGCCTGAGAGTGCAGTGAGTGGCCTGAGAGTGGCTGCAGGGCTGGTCCCAGAGGCTGGGGATCAGTGGCTCGAAGTTCAAATTGAGGAAAATCTCAAGGGAAGTATGTCAAGTATATCCAGGGAGCCAACCCTGGTCAACCTCCTCAACAATGACATGGGCAGTGGGACTGTTGTCCCCTCAGCAAGCTGGCAGGTGATGGAGTGGCTGAGGCACCACTTGATTGTGCTGCCAGTCAGAGGGACCTAGAGACTAAATGTTAAAGGAGTCTCCTGAAATTCAAGCAAAAGAAATGGGAAGTTCTGCATCTGGACATAAATGGCAATGCGCCCCAGGTCATGCTGGGGACTGAGAGTCTGGAAAGAAGCTTTGCTGAGCAGGACCGTGTGGTGCTGGTGGAGAACATATGGACCCTAAAATCTCAATCCTTTCCTTCCTGGGAAAGGCATCACCAGTATCCAAGCCAGATTTCAGGCAATGCTTGCCATGACGTTGGGAGAAGTTGTCTTTTTTCTCATTAGAACACTGGTGGGGTCCCGTGTGGGGTGGCGTGGGCAGTTCTGGGCTGTCCAGGAAAAGAAGCACAATGGTTTAGTGAAACAAGACCAGATCAGGGCAACCAAGATACTGAAACGGCCGAAGAATCTCTCCTAGGGGACAGAGAGAGCTGGACAGGAGGATATCATCAGTGTGTGAAAACCTCTGATGGCAGGAAATGAAGTTGAGGGAGACCAGCTGTTCTCAGCATTGCACACACGTGAAGGAAAAGGGGGAAGGACAGAAAACAGCTAGAATTCCATGGGCAAAGAAGGTAAGAAATTTTCAGTGTGAGAATGGTTACAGAGTAGAAAAGCTGATGGAGTCTGCTAGAACAAAAACTGAGCTGACCATGGTCCTGAAAATGCTGTCCTTGCTGACTGTGCTTGAGCAGAGGGAAATGAAGCACTTGTATTCCAGAGCTCGTGCCTAACTGGATGATGTTGTTCCTAATGTTTTCTGGAAGGGTTCAGAGGCCTTCCTGGAAGAGAGTTTGTCAAGTGTATGCTGGCACAGAGAGACTCTGCCAAAGCCATGAGCAGGAGAGCATGGCTATGTCAAAACCTTTGGGGTAGTGGGTCCTAGGCTTGTGTCATGTTCTGGAAGGTGTCCCCTCGCCCCCTGCTTCCAGTGCCTATCTTGGTTGCTACAGGTGGTGACATCTCTCCTAAGAGAGCTGCTTTATACCATCCACACCAACAGTCTATCTGCCATCATTCTGGGTGAAAATGTGAAACCATTGGAATTCAAAAAAATAAGGAGGCATCTCAGATTACGATGCAGGAAAACTTTATTGAGGGAAAAAAACTGAGACAGGGGAAAGAAGTAGCAGGAATCCAGTGTGAGATGAGTGTAGGGAGATATCAGAGGTACTGATTTGCTTGCAGTAGCTGTTGCCAGAGCACGAAGCTCATTGTTGATGTCAGGGGTGGTGCTCAGGGCCCTTAGCAGTTGTAGCCACCCCTTCTGCCATAGCAGCCCAGGCCTCCCAGCCCGTAGCCACAGCCCAGCCCGTAGCCAAATCCACGGCCATAGCCAAGGCCATAGCCAAAGCCACCAAATCCACCAGAGATGGGCTGTCCCTGCACACTGAGTTCAGTGCCTACGGCAGCCGAGGAGGTGGATCCAACGGCGGTGTTCTGGGGGAAGGAGGTCATGATGGGTCCTGGCAGGGTGATCAGCACAGGAGCAGGGTCAATGATAACACGGGAGTCCTGGCATTGCAGGGCACAGGGCTCGTTGCAGCTGTTGGCCAGCGGGGTGGGTCCACAGGGACGGCAGATGCTGTTGCAGGCCATGGGTGTGGTGTGGAGGGTCCCTGGAAGAGAAGAGGTGAGGCTGAGCAGGTGTGCTGGGGTTCAAGGGGTGGTGATGCAGAAGGATACGGGAGTGTGGAGGCTGTTGTGGGGCTGTGGGGAGGTGTGAGGGCTGCTGAGGCTGGGGCAGAGCGTGGTGGCAGAGAGTGCCCAGGGATGCAGGAGCAGGAGGATCAGGGCTTGAGACTCACCTGGTTGTCAGCAGGAGGAGAACGTGTGAGGAGGAGTGTGTGAGGGAGAGAGGCTGTGGGCCGGCTTTTATGCTGCTCCTGGAGGGGCGGGACAGCCTTGTCCCATGGCCTTGGGGCATTTTTTAGGCAGCGGCTCTTTGCTGGCCCAGCCAGGTGAGTTATGAGGTTGGCAGTGTTTTCATTCATGCAATTCTGCAATTCCATGTCCTGTTCTTGAGGCTGTCTCCATCTGACCTTGGCGGCAGATTTAATAATTTGTTTCTTGGGCGGATTTGATTGTTCATTGTGTTTCAGGGCAGGCTGAATAAACAACCAGAGCTGTGGAGATTTGCAATGTCATCAGTGAGGTCATTTTGTGGCACTTGTGTGCTGTGGTTTGTTGGTGCCTTGTGAAGACTGGGACTCTGTTCTGTGCCACTGCATGTCTGTCACTCATTGTGTTGCACCCAGGAATGCTGAGGGAGCTGCTGATGTCCTGTTGCAGAGGTCACTCTGCAATGGTTTGGAAAGGTCCCAATGCCTGGGAGCTCTTCCTGATGGATGAAAGAGCCCATGGCCTTGTGTCTTGAATGGAATCAGGGGAGAGGACATTTAAAACGAGAGGCTGCTCAGGCTGAACCTGTTCCAGTGTTACAGCCCATTTGGATTTCTTAAATTTACATGACAACGTTCTCTGCCATTTAAAATGTATCCCTTGACATTGTGAAGAAATCCAATCAAGAAAGAAAAAACTGGGCTTGATCCCTTTTTTCTCAGGCTGTCTGTGACATCAATTCACTTATTCCGCATTCAAGCCACAAGTTTCATAACTCATAACCTGTAATTGTGAACACTGCGTTCCCGTATGAAAATAACCAGTAATTACTAGTGGACAATCAGTGAGGTCCACTGTCATTCCCTGACAAGGAGGTGCTTGTCTTTGTAGAATTGTGCAATTCCATATCCTGCTCCTGAGGCCATTCCATCTGTGGTGCTAATTGTGAATTGTGAGCACTAAGAGGTCAAATTCTTCTGGTGATGGTTCATGTCAGGGAGGGTAGAAGTCGTGACCCAAGCTTTGGAGAGGTGGGATGTCATCACTGTGATCACCCCATGGCCCTTGTGTGCCATGGTCTGTGGGTGCCTTCTGAAAATTTACCCCAAACTTCTCACAGTTCTGATAGTCTGGTCTGGGCTTTGCAGCTGTGCCAAGGAGGAGGTGTTACACCTTCCATTGCATTTCATCCCTCCAAGGATTTATTCTAGTTTGGAAAGGCTGACATCAAACCTCACTTTCTGTTGGGGCGTGCTCCATGGGTGCTTGGGTGATACTCTAGCCTCAAAGGTTTTGATATTTTGGTTCTTGATTTGGGCTGAGTGCCAAGGGATGAGGCCACATGTGATTGTCTGAATGAGGATTTGGAGGCTGACCAGGGTTCTTGGAGGTGAGCATTGCATGATCCTTAACAACTCAGGCAAGTCCAGGTTGTGTCAGCTCCCAGTTGTGGTGGCCTGAGAAAGGCCCAAAGACTGGGCCCAGTGGTTTGTGATCAGTGTCCCAAAGTCCAGATGGCATCAAGTGACCACTGGAATAGCCCAGGAGTTGGATCCACTGGGCCAACACTGAAAACCTGACAGGTTGTGGACATTTGCTAGACTTCAGCAAGGGCAGCAGCCAAGTGCTTTTTCTTGGGAGGAGTCATCTCAGGTAAGAAGAACTATCTGGGTGTGAGTTGGAACAATTTTTTTGTTTCTCTGAAGAGGCTGGTGTGGTTCTGGGTTAGAAGGAATGGGACAGGAGATATCCCTGTATCATTGTAGGAAAAGGGACCTCAAGTCTTTAGGTCAAATCTGGGGAGAAGCACTGTGATGAGGCAGGGAGAGGTGACTCTTGGTGTCTTCTTAACACTGGTGAGGTCCCATGTGAGCTCATGTGAGTTGTGTGGAGCTGTGGACCCCCTGGTGTGAATATGAAATACGTTTAGTGAGTCACAACCTGTTCAGAACCAGCAACATTCGAGAGGGGCTGGTGAATCATTTGTAGAGGAGAAAGTGAGAGAGCTGGGACTCCTGGGGGATGAGGATGGACAGGGATGTGTCATCAATGTGTGCGAATCTCTGATGGCAGACAATGAAGTTGAGGGCGCCTGGCTTTTTTCAGCAGTGCACAGGACAAAAGGGCAATTGCAAAGAGAATACAAAGATGTATTCTTCTTTGTATGAAGAAGGCAAGATTTCTCATTTTGAGGGTGGTCACAGAGTGAAACAGTGTTGGACTGCCCGTCTTGGGAGAGACAACACAGAACTGTCCGTGGTGCAGGAATTCCTGCTCCGGTGGGTCTTGCTTGAGCAGGGAACTTGAAGCATTTGCACTCCAAATTTCCTGTCCAAGTGGATGATTTTGTTACTCATTTTTGCTGGAATTTTGAGGAGTCCTGGTGGGAAGAGAGTTGGTCAAGTGGGTGCTGATATGGACTGACTTGATTGAGCTGTACCCAGGAGTGGAGGGATGTATCCAAGCTTTTGTGTATAAGGTGATGGGTCTGTGTCATGTTCTGGAAGGTGTCCCCTCCTGTGTTTCCTATGCCATTCTTTCTTATTGTTTTGACATATTTGTGAGGGAAGGTGATGTTTCACATACCCCAGTGAACTGTTGAGGCTGGGAATGTTCTTGGTAAGAATGTGAGACCACTGGAATTACAGAAGAACATGAGATATCTCAGCTTTTGATGCAGGAAAACTTTATTGAAGCACAAGAATGAAGAGACAGGAGAAAGAAGAAGGGATCTGGTATGAGGTGCAAACAGGGTGACCACCAGCTGAGGTGCTTTGCTGGCAGGAGCTTGCAGAGGCTCTTGGTAAGCCAGGAGATGCTGCTGTCAGGAGTGGTGCCGAGGGCCCTTAGCAGATGTAGCCACCCCTTCTGCCATAGCAGCCCAGGCCTCCCAGCCCGTAGCCACAGCCCAGCCCATAGCCAAATCCACGGCCATAGCCAAGGCCATACCCAAATCCACCAAATCCACCAAATCCACCAGAGATGGGCTGTCCCTGCACACTGAGTTCAGTGCCCACGGCAGCCGAGGAGGTGGATCCAACGGCGGTGTTCTGGGGGAAGGAGGTCATGATGGGTCCTGGCAGGGTGACCAGCACAGGGGAAGGGTTGATGACAACGTGGGAGTCCTGGCATTGCAGGGCACAGGGCTCGTTGCAGCTGTTGGCCAGCGGGGTGGGTCCACAGGGACGGCAGAGGCTGTTGCAGGCCATGGGTGTGGTGTGGAGGGTCCTGGAAGAGAGGGGAGTGAGGCAGGGTGAGAGGTGCAAAGGGTGCAAGAGGTGGTGATGCAGGAGAGCACATGAGTGTGGAGGCTGTTGTGGGGCTGTGGGGAGGCATGAGGGCTGCTGAGGCTGGGGCTGAGCATGCTGGAAGAGAGGGACCAGAGGTGCAGGAGCAGAAGGGTGGGGGGATTGAGGCTCACCTGGTTGTCAGCAGGAGCAGGAGGAGAAGGTGTGAGGAGGAGTATGTTAGGGAGAGAGGCTCTGGGCTGGCTTTTATGTTGGTTCTGGAGGGGTGGGACAGCCTTGTCCCATTGCCCTGGGGCATTTTTTAGGCAGCAGCCCTTTGCTGGCCCAGTCCGGTGAGTCATTGTTTGGGGAGTGTTTTCCTTTAGGAAATTCTGCAGTTTCATGTCCTGCCCTTGAGGCCGAATCCATCTGACCTTGGCATAACCTCTTAGTTGAGAGAATTAGTGACCAATGTATCCTTGTTGATATCAAGTGTCAGGACATGTTGAAGATTCAACAAGATCTCTGGAGAACTGGGGACCCAAGACTGGGCCATGCCATGGCTTATTGACAACATCTCCTAATTGCATTTTTCCTCCTGCCTGACATTCCAGGTCCCTAGTTTCTTCTCATTTTAAGGATGCTCCAGTCTTGTCAGTGTCATGGTCTGTCTGAGTTGCTCTTGGTCATCCATGTCCATCTCCTTGTTCCACTGTGGAGTCGCACCAGTGGTGGGTGAAAAGATGGACACTGCCCTCAACCCACTTGTATTTCTTTTCCTAATCCTGTCCTTGCAACTGCTGGAGTTTGTTGCAGCAGAAGGTACATGGCAAAAGGGTGGATTAATCAATGGATAAGGAATTGTTCTACTCAAACGTCTTGTTCTCCTTACCCTTCACCCGTTTTCCTTTTCATGGGTCAGGAAGAACCCAGCACTGTGACCCCACAGTGTGACTGTCATGGGCCCAGACGAGACGAGCGCTATGGATGACCCAACACAAGACTTAGGGCAGCAAAGGAGCCTCCCTAAACAACAGGATTGGTGTCCCATCCTCAATGGGAAAGGTATTTAAAAACACCTAAAGAGATGGCAACATGGTGAGGATGGAAACAATGAAAGGAGAAGACCCTTACAAGCAGAGCTCCTACAAAGCCGAGACCAGCCTGATGGAGCCGTGATGGTTTGAGGTCCATCTTCACAATGTACCCGCAAACCAGAGAACATGAGTGCCCCGGATTGACCTCACTGGTGACACCCAACCTCTCCAAAGCTTCGGTCACGTATTCAGCTTGCCCTGACAAGGCCATCAACACCTGCATTTACCTCTAATACTTGGATTTAAATATCAGCCATCAAAGTCAGATGGACAAGACCTCAAGGAAATGGCTTGGAAGAGCAGAATCCCACAAAGGAACACTAGTACCATGACATATGAGGGAGCATGAGCTCACTGATCATATATTTGCAACAATTACCTTTTGCAAACAGGAACAAAATATTAAAACTTAGAGGTTATAAGTTATGAAACTTGTGGCTTGAATGCCAAATAAGAAAACTGACGTCACAAACCAGCCTGGGCAAATAAGGGCTTGCTGTTTGTTTAGAAGATTCATGAATGAGGTCAAGGAATACATTTTAAATGACAGTGTATGCGGTTGTGTAGATTGCAGAAATCCAAATGGACCTGAAAAATAAAACAAGTTCAGCATGAACAGTCTCTACTTTGCTGGACCCTCTGCCTTGATCCCATTCAAGACACAAGTCCAAGAGCTCTCTTTCATCCATCAGGAAGAGCTCCCAGGCACTGGGATCTTTCCAAGCAGTTCCAGAGTGACCTCCCTAGAACACCAGCAGATCACTCAGCATTCCTGGGTGACACAAAATGAGTGACAGATTTGCAGTGGCACAGAACAGAGTCCCGGTCTTCACAAGGCACCCCCAAAACAAAGCACAGGAGTGCCACAAAATGACCTCACTGATGACATCGCAAATCTCCACGGCTCTGGTTGTTTACTCAGCCCCCCAACACATACTGAACAATCACATCCTCCCAAATACCAGCTCTCACTCTGAAGCTGCCGCCAAGGTCAGATGGACACGGCACCAAGGGAAGGACATGGAATTGCAGAACTATACAAATAAAAACCCTGCCCACTTCATGACTCACCAGGCTGGGCCAACAAAGGGATGCTGCCTAAAAAACGCCGCAAGGCCATGGGACAAGGCTGCCCCACCCATCCAGGACCAGCATAAAAGCTAGCCCACAACCTCTCTCCCTCACACACTTCTCCTCACGCCTTCTCCTCCGGCTCCTGCTGACAATCAGGTGAGCCTCAAACCCCTGACCCTCCTGCTCCTGCACCCCGACCCCTCTCTGCCACCACGTTTGGTCCCAGCCTCAGCAGCCCTCATGCCTCCAGACTGCCCCACAACAGCCTCCACACTCCCTCACCCTCCTGCACCCTTTGCACCTCTCACACCTTCCCTGCCTCACTCCTCTCTCTTCCAGGGACCCTCCACACCACAACCATGGCCTGCAACAGCCTCTGCCGTCCCTGCGGACCCACCCCGCTGGCCAACAGCTGCAACGAGCCCTGTGCCCTGCAATGCCAGGATTCCCACGTTGTCATCAACCCTTCCCCTGTGCTGGTCACCATGCCAGGACCCATCATGACCTCCTTCCCCCAGAACACTGCCGTTGGATCCACCTCCTCGGCTGCCGTGGGCACTGAACTCAGTGTGCAGGGACAGCCCATCTCTGGTGGCTTTGGTGGATTTGGTGGCTTTGGCTATGGCCTTGGCTATGGCCGTGGATTTGGCTACGGGCTGGGAGGCCTGGGCTGCTATGGCAGAAGGGGTGGCTACATCTGCTGAGGGCCCTCGGCACCGCCTCTTACACCAACCACCAGCTCAGGGCTCTGGCAACAGCTCCTACAAGCAAAGCACTTCAGCTGATCTTTGTCCTCCTTGCACCTCACAACAGTTTATTTATTTCCACTTTTATCTCCTGGAGTTTCATTCTTTCCAACCAATAAAGTTTTCCTGCATCAAACCTTGCATGCCTCCTTATCTTTTTTGCTCAAATGATCTGGCATTCTCTCCCAGCACATTCTACAGCTCAAAAGTCGTTCAGGGTACCTGGAACAGGGTAGCAACACTTCTCCTTACATATATCTCAAAAGAACAAATAACGAGTTTGGCACGGGAAACACAGGAGGGGACACCTCGCAAAACCTGTCACACACCCTGCCAACTGCTACACCAAAGTCCTCAACTGACTGTTCAACTGTTGTTGAACAACAGTTCTCTTCTTAGCACGGAAATGGAAAAGTCATTCCATGCCAGTGCACACTTGTCAAAATCTTTTCCTGGCCAGGACTCTACAAACCTTCCAGCAAAGAGAGAAACAACATCAAGCAGCTGGGCAGGAGCTCTGCAGTGCAAGTGCTTCATCTGCCCTGCACAAGCAAGACCAACAGGAGAACATTTCCAGCACCATGGACAGTTCAGATATCGCTCTCCCCGGATCGTGACTCCACCACCTCTTCCATCTTCTTTATTTGCCCATCGAGTTCCATCTCTTTTCATTTCTGCTCTTGCCCTGCACGTGTGCACTGCTGAGAGCAGCCAGGCTCCTTCATCTTCATTCCCCACCATCAGGGCTTTGCTCACACTGATGTCACACCCCTGTCCCTCCTTGCCCCCTGGGAGTCCCAGCTCTCTCAGCCTCTCCTCTAGGAATCATCCTTCAGGCCCATTTGTATCTGGCTGGCCCTGAGCTGGTCTCACCTGGGAGTCCAGAACTGCCCACAACCCCTCACATGGGACCTCAGCAGTGCTGAGCAAACACCAACAGTCACCTCCCACTACCTCATCCCAACACTTCTCCAGATCCTGCCCTGGAAACTTGGCATCCCTTTTCCCACAAGGGTACAGGGACACCTCCTGCTCCATTTCTTCTCACCCACAATCACAAAGGCTTTTTGGAAAAGTATTGTCCAAACTGACACCCACATATTCCTTCCTACCTGGCATGACTTCCTTGTTCCTCTCAAGAAACAGCCCGTGGCAGATGCCCTTGCTGTGCTCCAGCAAATGTCCAGGACCACTCGGGTTTTCCATGTTGGCAGAAGGATCCAAGTCCTGGGCTACAGCACTGGGGATTTGCTGCCACTCTGGCCACCATGCTGGGCACTGGTGTCAAAGAAGAGATTTGCCTGGTTGTCAAGGATCGAGTAGTGCTCTCCTCCAACAACCCAGTGCAATCACCCTATCCTCTTTCTGACAACCAGACATCGCCCAGGGAAACGGCCTCAGTCTTTAGCCCATGAAACAACCCAAAAGAACCTGTAGAAGCAAGAGGGGCATCAAGACACACACAAAGCACAACCAACAGGAAAAAGGTGGTCCAGTGTTAGCCATTGCCAGCTGGGAGAAAAGCATGGAGGGAGGGAATGTCAACTAAAGGTACAACACCTCCTACTTGGCCCAGCTGCAAAATGCAGAACAGCCTGACAGGACTGACAGAGTGTGGGGGCAACTCTTCCCCACACACCCACAAACCACAGCACAGAAGTACCACAGCATGACCTTGAAATGAGAAACATCTATGGTTTTGAAAATTCGGAATTTTAGAAGTTTTTAATATGCTTAAGCAGGCAGAAGAGAAATAGAACACACAGCAGAAACAGTTTGTGACAAACTGCATAGGAACTTAGTCGCTAGGAAAAAGCATTAAGATAAAATATATTATGAAAACTTAGTAAAGCAAGACCTAGGTATTGTGAAAACCCAGCAAAGCGTGAACCTGTGGCTCTAGAAACCAGGAAGCATGTCAGCTAATTATAATGCCAAGCGAGAAAAGGTGGAGAACAGATAGGCAGGGATGTGTGGGCTTGTGGGATCAATGTGTATTTATACCTAGAACCTGTCTTGACCAGGTACTCATGGTTTGGAGGAGGTATCCCCCCCATGTGTCCTAGCTGGCAATAAAACATATCTCTGCAATTTCAGTTGTCAAGTCTTGATTCCCAAAATCAACCTCAGTGATTACACCCCACTTCTCCAAAGCTTTGGTCACATCTTCAGCCCACCCTTTCATGAGCCATAAATACCAGAATATTTTCTCTAAAACTCGCACTTAAAAGCTTCTGCCAAGGTTGGATGGACACGACCCAAGAGGAGGACATGATACTGTGGATGTGGGGAAGACAAGGAATCCCCAGCTGATGACCTGCCAGGCTGGGCTACTCATGAGAAGGAAGATAAGGACCTGCTCAAGCAGACCTGGAGAAGAGCCTTGGAGATGATGAGGGGCTGGAGACAAAAGTGAACACAGAGACCATGAGGGCCTTCTGTTAGAACAGGCAAAAACCTTCACTAGTGTATCCAGGCCTGATTTCAAGCAAGTGAAGGGCTTGTGTGATGCAATGGAAGGCTAAACTGTGCTGGGAGTAGTGGAACTGAAGCCATATTTCCTAAGACAGGCCTTGCTGCACTGTTTCAACACCATCAGTTGCCCACACAAGCTTGCCTTAGCGCTGAGTAAAACTGGAAAAGTCCCGAGACAAGAAAGAAATAACCATGTGAAGTTGTGATGCAAGAAAACTTTATTGAGGTAGAAGAGTGAAAACTCAGGAGAAACAAGAGGAAGGGAGCTGGTCTGGGTTGCGAGCAGGGTGACCATCAGCAGAGTAGCTTTGCTTGGAGGTTTGGCCAGAGCATCAAAGCCTTCTGCCCCACAGTGGGAGCAGCCCAGCTAACGTGTCCAAGGGTCCCTGGATTCAGAGAAGGGGCTTGCAGCAGAGGGAGCTGGACAGAGCCAAAGAGGCCTCACAGAGCAGGGAGTGGGAGAAGACCAGGAGGCAGATGGGCCATGATTGCAGGCAGCCTGGGCTTGACCCTCGGCTACTGCCTTGCTTAGTGCCCTGAGAGCAGAAGCTGGAAGTGCTGAGCCGCTACGAGACCCATAACCCAGAGAGGCATCTTCAATGCCTGAGATGTGTTCCAGGGAGCTGGTGGTTGATGTCAGGGTTGCTGCTGAGGGCCTTTAGCAGATGTAGCCACCCCTTCTGCCATAGCAGCCCAGGCCTCCCAGCCCATAGCCACAGCCCAGCCCGTAGCCAAACCCACGGCCATAGCCAAGGCCATAGCCAAATCCACCAAATCCACCAGAGATGGGCTGTCCCTGCACACTGAGTTCAGTGCCCACGGCAGCCGAGGAGGTGGATCCAACGGCGGTGTTCTGGGGGAAGGAGGTCATGATGGGTCCTGGCAGGGTGACCAGCACAGGGGAAGGGTTGATGATGACACGGGAATCCTGGCATTGCAGGGCACAGGGCTCGTTGCAGCTGTTGGCCAGCGGGGTGGGTCCACAGGGACGGCAGGAGTCATAGCAGGCCATGGGTGTGGTGTGGAGGGTCCCTGGAAGAGAGGGGGGTGAGGCAGGGCAGGGATGTGGCAGTATGA